CCTACAGCAGCAACTGCACAATCCACCAGCGGTTACGCCCGCTGTAGCTCCAGCTGTAGCACCTGCTATAGCCCCCGCCGTGGCACCAATAGTACCTGCTCCGGCAGACAACACTAAACCAGAACTAAGAAGAACTCTAAAACCTAAATAACTAACTAAATTCGACGGAGACACCACTAAACTTCGCAAATTCCAATATAACCTACGAACCTACTTCAAGTACTATTTTCCAAACACCTTCTCAGCAGACAAGTATAAAACTCGCATCCGTTTCGCAGGAACCCGAATGGAAGGTGCTACCGCCGACTGGTTCAGCTCAATCCTCAAGGACAGACAAAAACCTCTTAACCAGCAAACACAACTCACCAAGGATATGTTCAAAAGCTACAAAGAATTTAAAAACCAATTGGAAAAATCCTTTAGAATCACTAACGAAGCTCAAGAAGCCGAAAAGAAGCTTAGGGACCTCAGACAGAAGGGCCCGTGCTACAAACACACTTCAACGTTCATCCAACTACTCACTAAAGTTAATTGGACTGAAGAATCGAAGAAGGAAATGTACTACTACAGTCTAAAGCCAGAAGTCAAGGATGAAATTTACAAGACCGACCAACAGGCCGTCAGTTTCACTAACCTCACTCAGGAAGCGATCAAAATCGACAACCGACAGTGGGAAAGAAAACAAGAAAGAAAGGCAGAAAAGACTGGAAACCCAGTCAAACACCACCCTTAAGCTAACCAAGGAAAGAAACGAGACAACTACATTGCAAAAGACAACAGTACCCGACCTGGAAAAATAGACATTAATAACATTACCAGGAAGAAGTTCCTCGGAACCTATAACGCCTATGGCAAGAAAGGCCATAAGGAAGCAGACTGCCGCTCCAAGATGACTTGCGGATTCTGTGGCAAGAAGGGCCACGACAAAGCCCACTGCTACACTAAGAAAAACACAAAGAAATCTAAGACTACTAAAGACAAGATCCAGATAGACACAATCACGGAAGTACCTTATGATCACCTCAGCTAGACAGCTTACTACAACAATTCATATCTTGTACACAAAAACAGCAAGGAGGGATCCGGATACTACCCCAAGAAACCACGAAACAGGAAATCTCATGAGACCGTTAAGATTAACACCCTCAATTTTTATAAGCAGCCTCACCCAAGGGATTTCAACTGCAACAGTTACAAGGATTACAATACCAACGAATCGGACTATAAGCCCCTCACAACCAAAAATAGCACCAGAAGGAATGTATCCCAATATGACAACTGCAGCTCTACGGAACCTTACTCCATTCACGCACTCTACAAATGCTCATCTTGCGGCTCATAGAACATTAATCACACGTGCGAGGACAATGAATCGGAGGACTCTAAGGATAAAACCCCAGTTACCTTCAAAGACATATACAACAGCAACGATCCCAACGGCGATAAATATCACCAATGCAGCGCGCTAGAACCCTAACATAATACAACATGCCTAAAATACATAGGAAAGTATAAATGCCCTCTATGCGAATCCAGAAACAAAAACCACAAATGCCCAGGATATTAAAAAAGCCCATACTATAATAGCATAGACATACCACATATCTGCAACATTAAGGCACAAGGAAAAAATATATATAAATGCGAGATTTATAAATCCACAGATTTAAATCATAACTGCGATAGATGCCGCACCTGCGGATCCTATAACCCTAAACATAACTGCATATATGTTCTAGGGGAACAAGCAGAAGAACAAGAAAGACAAGAGGAAAGACAATAATACCTTAACGAAAACCCACCTCGCAGAATAACCCTAGAAGAGGCTCAGGAACAAATCAGGCTCACCAAAATCAACCTCAAGGATGCATACAACCAAGTTCCTATTCAAAGCCTCCTTAATGCCCTAGACAAAGACTGTAAAACACACAATTAAAAACGGTGCGATAACATATACTGCTAAATACATATCTTCGATAAACTAAAAGACTAGCACAAATATCAACCAAAACAAGTTAAGTATAAAGAATGCATAATAAACCATTTCCTAGACTGCACAATTACATACTGCAGCATACACAGAGAAGAGAAAAGCTAATTTTATTAGATCACCCAAAAGCTAGCACAAAAAGGCTATAACTTTAAGAACTATTTAAACCAAAGTCAGGGGAACAAAGCTCTAATTAAGAAATATCACCGTTTAATCAAGGATCAAAACAAAGAATTAAAATGCCAATAGTGTGCGAAATACCAAAGCGCCACATAGGACCAAACCCATTTAGATAGCATTTAAATTGACTTAATTGGAAGCAGCAATAAGAAACTACAAATTAAAGGATACATTAATTAATTCCTAGTTATAATATACGTAAACAGTAATGCGGATCGCAACCTCATCACTCCCAAAATAGTAAACCTACTCGGATTACCATACGCTAAGAAAAAACAACCTACATATGTGTCTAGTGTCGCCACACCCAATGCCAAGACAACAATTAATTACAAGACTAATTATCTCCTAATTACAATTACTAGTTATACTAAGACTATTAAATTTAACATTATGCCTCTTAGTAACTGCGACGTTTTACTTAGACACCCCTGGTTAAAATAAGGTAACCCACTAATTAACTGGAGAATTAAAGAAATACTCTGGGAAATAGACGTCACCCCGGAGCTATAACTAAGCCATGGAGAGGGCAAGGAAGGCAAAGACGCGCCTATAGACCTAAAAACAAAATCTCATACGCAATAAAATAAAGAAAAAACAGAAAAAACAAGAACAGAACCTAGAAGAAAGGTCAGATTCAATACGGAAAAATCACCAGTACCACCTTAATATGACCACCGAAGAGTCAAGGGAGAACAAGTACATATTAACTGAATTATCAAATAAATAAAAAAAGAATTACAAGCTTTAAACAAAGCCTTACTAAAAGTAAAAGAAAAAGATAAACTAGGAGAATTAGAAGAAACTCTCCTAAAAGCACCTCGATAATACAGAAGGAAATATAGAAAATTATTTAGCCCAATATTAGAAATAGTACAACCGCTTTACTCACAATAGGATTATTGCATAAATCTCATAGACAGAAAAACAATGAAGTCCTTTCCAATCTACAATCTCAGCGAAATAGAACTTAAAACACTTTAAGAATGGATATAAGAACAGTTAGAAAAAGGACACATTAGGCCATCCACATCACCAGCTAAATACCCTGTTATATTTATACTAAAGAAAAATAGGAAACTTAGACTAGTTATTGACTATAGACAGCTAAACGAAATTACAATTAAGGATTGAACCCTATTGCCGCTTATTACGGAAATTTAAGACCGCCTAACCAGTGTAAATTAGTTCACTGCCTTGGACCTTAAGGGAGCGTATAACCTAATTTACATCCGCGAAGGGGATGAATAGAAAATAGCGTTTAGAACACGCTACGGACTATTCAAATACTTAGTTATGCCATTTAGGCTTACTAACACACCCGTAACATTCTAACGAATGATTAACCATGTACTACGAGCATATATTAATGACTTTGTGATTGTATACCTAGACGACATCCTTATCTTCTCGAAAACCCTTGAAGAATACAAAGAACACATCCACAAGGTACTATAAACACTATAAGACGCTAATCTCCTAGTGGAACTAGAAAAATGTCATTTCCACGTTTAAGAAGTTAAATTCCTAGGATACTTAATTTCACCAGGATAAGTCCGAATAGACCCAGATAAGCTCAAGGCAATCCAAGACTAGGAATTTCCAGAAACAAGAAAAGGAATGCAAAGCTTCTTAGGCCTAGTGAACTACTATTAAAAATTCATTAGAAATTATAGCAAGATCGCTAAGCTACTCACTAATGCCACTCAACTCAAAGAAGACAAAAAGGGCAAGAAAAAACCAAAAGATAGGAAACTCGCATACAAGCTAGAAATAAAAAAAGCGTTCAAATAACTCAAAAACGCTCTCCTCAGCAAACCTATGCTTATCATATACAATCCCAATAAACCATTAGAAATTAAAACAAACTCATTAGACTTCGCCATCAGAGGAGTACTAATACAGAAAGACAAAAATAGGAAAAATCATCTAGTAGCATTCTTCTCGCAAAAACTACATAGGCCAGAATTACAATATCCCATCTACAACAAAGAGTTCATAGCAATTCTCAAAGCATTTAAGGAATGGAGATACTACTGTTTGGGAAGTAAGTATAAGGTCAAGGTCCATACCGACCACCGCAACATCGTGTACTTCACCAAGACTCAGAAACTCTCTGCGCGACAAACACAATATTTCAAGACACTCTTAAACTTTAACTACAAACTCATCCATTGTAACAGCACTGCCAATAGATAAGCAAACGCACTAAGCAGAAAAGAAAAACACTTCAAAGAAATTCCAGAATTTAAAGCCCAGATTCTAAGGAAGAATCATCAAGGAAACTACAAACAAATACGAGTTAACACCCTATTCATTGTAGAAGAACACAACCCTATCCTTAACAAAATAAGGGAATGTGTAGCCAACATAAAACCAGAAGAACTCCCGGAAGAAGCAACCATTAAGGAAGGCTTGCCAAAATGGGAAGGAAAAATCTGGGTACCACCGGAACTACAATTAAAAGCAATCCAAGACTTATATCGCAGCATAATCGCAGCAGCACACCGTGGTATCTAAACTACCTGGAACCACGCCATACACTACTACAAATTTCCAGGAATAAAGAATAAAATTTCAGAAGTCATCAAGAAATGCAATATATGCAAGAAGACAAAAGACAAAAGGCATCAGCCATATAGAACATTATAACCAACCCCAGTTCCGGAAAGAAATTAAAACACAGTTACATTCAACCACATCACCAACTTACCTAAGTCAAAAGATTCACTAACCGGAAAACAATTCAACAGTATTTTCGTAGTTATGGACAAACTCTCAAAGCAAGCATACTTCTTACCACATAAGAAATCACACACAGCAGAAAATTTAGCGCATCTCTACATAAAATATATATTCGCTAAACACAGAATGCCAAAAGAAATCATATCAGACAGAGGAAGTACCTTTGCATCCAAATTCTAGCAAGAACTAATGGCTAAACTCAGAACTCACCACAAGCTAAGCACCGCGTTCCATCCACAAACGGACGGACAGACAGAACAGATGAATCAAGTTATTAAAGCATACTTACAATGCTACATCAACCTCCAGCAAGACAACTGGGTTAAAATGCTACCAATCGCACAAATGCAATACAACAGCTCCACCACGGAAACTACAGGAGTTACACCATTCTACGCTAACTACAGATTCACACCGGAAGCCTACAGACCACCTCACAATAGCCCAAATGCGGACAATACACACATCCTTGCAGAAGATATAATCCAATTACAGGAAGAACTCAAAGTTCAACTCAAATTCTTCAGGCAGCGCACAAAGGAATACGCTAACCAAACAAGGATTAAGGGACCAACCCTTCAGGAGGGAGACATAGTCTACCTACTACAACATTCACGCAACAAAAAATTGCCAAACATCAGAACAAACAAGCCAAGTGACAAATTAGGATTCAGAAAACTTAAACCATTTAAAATTCTAAAGAAAATCGGCGAAGTTAACTATGAATTAAACTTACCCGAAAACATAAGATTAAAAACAGCCATTTTCCACGTATCACTACTTAAGAAAGCACTAGTAAACAAGGAAACAGGCGAACCAATTATAGACGAAATCATTATCTAAGACATTAAAGAAAAATATAAAATTAAAAAACTACTTCGCATGCAAATAAACAAAGAAACAGGAGAATGAGAATACCTTATTAGATAGAAAGGATATAATTCCAATGAAGACTCTTAGGTTCTAGAAAAAGAACTTAAGAGGAGCGCCCAGACAATCCTACAGGAATTTCATTAGTCTCTAAGGGTAAAAATAACAACAGGTCCAGTTCAAAGGCAGACCAATCAACAGCGTTAACGGACTAGGACGGGCCGACGGTAGAATTAGGCGCCAACAGGGCAACCTAATAAGCGGCCTCCGCTTCGCGTTCCTCGCGCTTAACCTATTCTAATTCCTCCAAATTATCCAGCCCCCACGCAATCGCACGTTCCATCCTCCTTAACCACTCTCGTTTCTAGGTACAAAGACATTTAACCTTCACACCAAGCTCCAACCAAGCCTCTTCAGCTTCCTTAAGCTCCTTATTCAGTTTTAAATAATAAGACGTAACTTTTCGCATCTGTTAAGGGGTAAGACTAAAAGCCTTACAATAAGATTTCTAATTCTTCACATAAGATAAATAATAACGGGAATCCTCTTCTAAAGCAACGCATTTATAACCTTAAGACTCGCAGTAGGTGCACGACTTCATAATAAGAACGGAATTCTCTAGTATAGTGTCAGCAAGACCTTCACGCTCCTCTTTCTTTCGCGTGGAAGTATCATTATTATCTCGCTTGCGTTTAACCATAATAAAAACAAAGGAAGAAAACTAAGGAAGGAATAACTCACCTAAGAAGGAAGACAGGTGGGGATACTTATATAATGACGTAACCAGGTCTTGAGGACAAGACCAACAAGGAGGGAGTATCGTGTCACGACCCAACACTTATGGTCGTCACAACGGGCCTACAGGGTAGGACGGAACGGATTAACTATAATCCGTTAACCAATCAAAAGCCCACGCTCACTAAACAAGGAAAGCTAGGAAAGCTAGCTTTCCTTAACACTAAGGAAAGCTAGGAAAAACAGCTTTCCACTACAATCCAGAAACCTCAACTGGATATATAAGTTCACTTCACCACGCTCATTTAGATAACTTAGATAGCCAGTTATTAACACAGAATCAAGATTGCAACACGCTCTGCACTGCCTACTATCTAATGACATTTATTATTACTATTTACATTACCCGAAGATCTCCTAATCGCTCCGCCAACATAAACCCAGAACTAAACTCTAGGTTTGTCCCTTGGGAAGCCCTCGTATTACTAACTATCTAGTGTACGGTTCGTCACACAGACAAAGTATAAGTAAAATAAATTCAGTATAGGATTTTTTTACTTAACTAATTAAGAGTAAGTTATCTTATATAGGGCGCAAAAACCAGTAGATATATAGCACAAAGAAAAATTATATTAACTTAGTATTAATATATAGCTCAACTTTTACCTGTTATATTATAAAATTTATTTAGCTATTGGCAAAAGATATTACCAAAGCTACCCCACAGAGGCTATAAAAAATAAGACACACCAAATAAATACTTACTTATATCTCTCTCTTTAATATACTTCGCTATTTTAATATAAAATATACAGGCTTTTGAAAGTAATATCTTTTTTGGGTAAACTTCACATGGCACGCCGCGAGTCAGTCTAAGACTCAAAATAGCGGCCTGGCCAAGGCTAGGACATGCACCGCAGCCAACACGTTTCGACGCCAGCATATTCAACCAATCGCCTGACATCAATAGTGATCCCCCGCTCTTCGGCCCCGCTATTATTTTGTCTTAGGGTCTTTAAATCACACAGCCCCATTCGTGAGGAACGGGCCGTGGCACGCTTGGCAACTATCTCACAATTCAGTCGCTAAAGGTAGAGCCGGTAGCCCCTCGACTTAAACCTTTTCACAATTCAATCCAACTCACCTTCACTCCTCCTGCACAATATAACAAATATCTCCATAATGGCTAACTCTATTACTACCCCGGATCTCGTTCCTGAGCCTGTCTCTAAGCTCCCGGAGCGACCCAAGGCTGATGGATCCGCCTTGAACGAGCACGAGCGCTCCGAGATCGCCTTTGTCGACAAATACAGCGCCCCCGATGTCTATATCAACGAGAAGAACGATACTCTGTGGTTCCCATGGATCGGCCCCATCGAGTTGAAACCCATGCGCATGGAGAACAGGACCGGTACCTTCGTTGTCGGGCTACGATCAAAGGTGTCTGCCAGCTTGGGCAAGCACCGACACCGTGGAACCGTTACTGCTATCACCATGTCAGGAGAATGGGGCTATAAGGAGTATGTTGATCCCAATCCTTATATATTGCGACTTTGCTAATTGGTCTACTTGTAGATACGACTGGGTTGCTCGACCAGGAGATTGGGTATGCGAAAATCCTGGCGTTATTCATACCCTGTCCGTCGAGGACAGCACCGACATTGTGTTTACTATTACTGGTAGCATTGAGTTCCTTAACGATGATGATAGCTTGAAGTTCACACTGGATATATTTAGCTTTGCTAAGCTGTATTATGATTACTGTAAGGAGAAGGGTATCAAGCCGAACAATGCTCTGTGGCATTAAATATATATAACGTATATATTCACGGCCAGTGGCGAATAGGTGTGACTCGCAAAGGGCCCGGTCCATTCGCGAATACAAACTGATAGCAGTGTGCGCCGAAACCAGTCCACTGATTCAGCTTTTACTTCTCTCCTCTGTCTTTCACTTCCTCCAAAATGTTAAAATGGAACCGGCAATTGCCCTTCTTAATCCATTTCCAAATGATATGCGCTAAGCATTTCAGTCTTATATACAAAGCCCAGCGTATACCTTCCCATTCCTGTAATAAAGGTAAGTTTTCTTAGTGCAGCTTATAACTCTATATGCAAGGAAATTCTCTGGATTGATTTGGCTAGATTTATCTAATTTATTAATATCTGTCTTTCGCAGGTAGTAGCCAAATCACTACTCCCACACACAACTCCAATAAGACATTCGAATTTCCGTTTAGTGTGGAGGATATAACCGCTGTAACTTCTAACTCCCAAGCAGTTTCACCTGTCTCTATCACAGCTCTTGCCTGAACTACAGTCTTAGTATATACTAATCTTGCTTATATCTTATAGAGATTTTCATAACTCCAACCATTGTTCGAACAAAAGCTGATTCTATAATAACAGCCACCTGGCATTTGCATGCTACCTACCCGGTTCTAGTGCTTTTACCATGCAGTAACTAAGCATGCGTGCAATCTTTTGGAGGCGCCTACTCCTAGGTCTATAGTAGATAAGGGGCTCCCGTAGCTAACACGCTAGGCAATCCTGTTCATTTAGATAGTAACAGCGTTAGAATAATTCAACACTATTGCTAGATTTTAGCGGCTATTATAGGTTGTCACTTGGAGGCAGCGTCCAATCAAGCTGGCTTCCAACCTGAAAATGTAATAGCCTACATATAGCTCTACGGCTGAAGTCTAGGTCAGATCTACAGCGTATAGTCTCATATAACAATGCCTAGGTTCAGGCTAAGGGGCGACATGAAGTGTGTTTTTAACTCTTTAGATCGGAGCGATTTGCCTAGTTAAAAGACGGCGTACCTGCGCTATCTTTGAAATATCTTAGGGGGATGTAAGGAGCTTGGCCGAAATTCCGATGTAGTACATGTTGAAAAGATTGGAGTTGGAGGGGGCGAGAGGATCAACTTAAGCCAAATGATTCCCACAATATGTACTCCTTGATTGTTCTGCCATTGTCCCTTCTCCATTTTCTTGGCATACAACCGGATTTCACGATGGCGTTGATTAAGAGTTTGCTTGCGCTGTCCCTCCTTCAAGCCCAGGCTGCGCTGGCGAATGATCGTGTTTGCCAGCATTTTCCATATGCTGAACTACTGTCTCTCAGAAATTACCCACCAGCAGAAGAATATTGTTCTCGTCATTGTAAGCGGATAGTTGGACGGAACTCAGATCTTAGACTAACTATAGCAAGATCCTTTACCTCCTGTGACCGTCACTCGAACAGTTGAAATCCCAACAACTGCTGTTGTTGCCGTCCCCAAGACCGACCAGACAGCTACATCTACTACCAGCATTATAACGTCCACTGTTTACACATCGACCGCAACATCGTATGTCTACACGGCCACGGTGACCGCCACGTCCACAACTGGAACCTTGGTAAGCTTTCGTTCATGTCATCAAGAGTCCTAGCTTCTAATGTGATACGTTTCAATGCAGACTCAAACCGTCTACCCCAATACAGAGATCGACACGGTCTACACTCAAACGAATGTTGTTACCGAATACACTTCTACATCAGTAGACTACCAGACTACTGGAACTGACACGGTGTAAGCTCACTGCAAGTTGATATATAGGTGTAATCATTAATTCACCGCGTACAGCACCGTAACCGTCGCTACACTCCCAATAACGACAACGACCGCGACCATCACTATCACGAACTTCGCCGCCCAGGCCGCGACGGCAACAGTCTCATCGGGAACTGTCACAGCCTACACAACCGTTGATACTGGTCTCCAAAAGCGCCATGATTTCCGTGATGCCCTGCTGCCAAGACTAGCGGCGTGTGAACGAAACACTTTGAAGACCGCATGCTCAGTATGCTTTCCCCTACGAATATACTATCGAGACTCATTTGCTAATACCTATATGATGTAGTGCATTGAAGTCCACCCATCTACACATACCGTTACAACCACAGCTAGGTGCACCCATACGTGGTTCAAAACCGTCAGAATCACCAAGACTGTAGATGTCATCGGTACCACGATAAAGAATGCTGTGTCTACTGCTACCATTGGCACCGCATCCGTAAGTACCATGGCAGGCTTAGAAATTAAAGCCTGGTTCTAATTATGTTGATGCAGACGATTACCACTGCTATCGTTTATGTTGCCACCGTGCAAGGCGTAGAAACAGATACTACCAGTCTTGGTTCCACTTCTACACTATCGACCGTCTTTGTCAAAGAGGTTGCTACGGCCGCCACGGCGACAAGCTCAATCACGTATTTCTCGCCAGTCGACGTGGCTGCCACAACAACTGTGCTTATCACTTCCACTACGACCGTCACAGTACCCGCTGCCACTACTACCGTCGCAACAGATGTTGTGTACAGCCTTGTATTTGGCCCACAAGCTGGATGCTCCTATGTGTTGGAAGCGTATGTATTTGAATTTGCATAAACTAGTATGGGTTTGAAAATAAATGAGGCTAATATTGTCATTGTAGGGACTATCTCGATCAATATTCACAGAACATCGCTAGCGGCACCACGCATAATGAAAGGGTAGCCATCTGCGCCGCATTTTGCGATAGAACGCCTGGATGCAAGACATTTGGCATGAACTGGTTCCCAAGTTGTGGAGCAAATGGCGAATCGGTGTACTGCATTGCTTCACAGGACGCATGGGCAGGCTCGGGTACTATGGAGTGCGGTATTGGAACCGGTTTCAATGGATGTTCCATCTACCAGGACGGTACTGTCTATCAGTAAGTTGCTCTATTGCTCCCATTTAAGACTGTGACAGCATGGCTAATTGCATCCATAGGAAACACTAGACATGACATATACGTATGTATGCATGTGCTGCTTGGTATCGCAATTAATCTCAGAAGAGAGCGCAAATTTCTGACATTACTAGGGATAACATTACTCTAATTCAAGACTTTAATAACTATTGTATAGCTGGCGCTGATATCGCAACAAGACAAATTGTCATCAAGGTCAACTACTCTACCGTAGGGCCTAGCAACAGCCTCTACTATAGCTAAGATACTAGATAATAGAGTCAGAGTACTAGATAGCTGGTTCCTAAAGAAAGCCAGCAAGTGTATCTTACACTAGGCCGAGAAATTAAGCCCTGGGTCAATTGCAAGCCATTCATCAACAAAATTGAACTTTCCTAAACGTATGTATAAGAAAGAAACGCGGATGTACAATAGACTCTCCCCAAATGTATCAACCTGTGTCTCTGTCGGTTTAGTAATAATGGAATCACGGATCCGCATTTCATCGGGAGGAACAAATGCATGAGCGTTGGGAAGCTCTCCACCGTCGAACATCTCAAGGCTGATACTATGCTCCAGTTGTATTACGCGTCGGCCGGTCGCAGATATAGCCGAGAGATCCCATAGATTTTCTTGGCAAGCTGCGAGAATCATCATCGCGTGAAAGGCTTTACATCGAATAGCCAAATCTCGGCACTTGATCACCACTAGATACAAGAGAGGCATGTAGCCCATCCCAAATGTAAACTTGGACTTGGAGTGCAGGACTTCCGCAGGAGGGAGCAATGAGATAATCTCTTCCGCAGCGTCCACGACTGCCTTGAAGGATGCCAGTTGGCTATCGAAACCCATTTCTGTTTTGTCAAGGGCGCATCCCACCCATATCTTGGAAACAAGGCCTTTCATGAGTGTTCCCAAATATGCGGCTTTAGCGTCGTGACAAGTAGGCGGGTACGTTTCTCTAAAGACGGAGAAGTCGAGAAGCCACTGATTCAGCGCAGCAAGTATGTCGAACTGTTCTTGATAAAGACCATCGGGTAAATCGATGCTGTACATGATTCCTCGCCTGTATATGTCGCTAGAGCGTATGAACCGGACGGACCGTGCCTGGAGGAGGTCTAAAGCAAAGAGACTATCTTCGAGTGTGGTATATGGAGCTGTAGTACCCGTCACCAGATCGCTTAGGGAAGGAAACGTGGTGATGGTGTGACCAAAAAAGAAGGGGAAGATGCTCAGTCGGACAAGTATAGGCGTAAGCTTCTCACGAACCCAGGGTGCCATAGTTGCATTATTCAAGACTGATATGCCATGTCGGCAATGTTCGATGGCGGCGGATGCATTCTTCTGCAGGATCTCTACGCATACGAAGAGAATACACAAGAACAGCATCGTGAACTCACTGTTTGACTTGCTAGTGAGATGTGACAAGGCATGATGGTAATGGCCCAGGGCGAATCGACCGCCAGGGTAGTCAAGGGCGTCCAACCGACCATTTCTGAGCTGCTCATAGATGGAGCTGATAGCGATCACTGCATGACGAACAGCGGGCTCTTGCTGGCAAACCATAGGGACGAGGCGTGTCCAGAATTCCTTATCAGGGTAACTCGATAGGCTCGGAGCAGCCACATGTAGAAAAAACTCAAAGGCTCTACCATCCCGATTGCTGCGACCAATTCTCGGAGTAGGTATAATGGCACTTGAACCTAGAAGCTTTTCCCAAGAGCAAGCCCGGTACGCCTCGGGTGGATAGCCGTCGCAATACCTTCGAGTACTGGTGCACTTCAGACAATGAGGCTTGGCTTCATCGCATTTGACCTTTCGTATCCTTATTTAGGACATTAGTCAATAGTTTGTGACAGTCTTGCTTCCCGAGCATATGTAGGCAATTAGACGTACTTGCATGTAAAACATCCTGTCCTAACTTTCTGCGATCCCTTTCTAGGCATCTCGATGGCTGAATGAAGAGACGGAGCCAGTTCGAACAAGTGGGGCGGATCCGAAGTACTATGAGATGTTTTGGTAACGTCAAGCGTCGTCGTCAACTAAGTCTATGCAGACGTCTGGGCAAGGCTTTTAATTGCAAAGACCCCTATGCTGAGCAAAACGTTCTATTGTTTAGTTTCACAGATCCTTCGAGGCCCGTAAGCGCTACGTCGGCTTTAGCTGCATTGGAGAGTGCAGATCTTGTGAGAAAGTGGGGCAAGTCCGAGTTATAAAACCTGTAGGCCATATAGACAAGGGTTATTTCATGCTAAATGCCAAGCTTAAGCTTATCTCGGAAGCGGCTTACTATGCAAACCAAGAGAAATTCAACAATAAGGCCAAGTTGGTACTATTATCAGTCAAGACTTGCATTGTAACAGGACTTCTTTGAGATCTATAACAAGTCCATCCTGTATTTCGGATTATACCAACTTAATAAGTTTATATCAATATTGAATAAGCCTCGTTGAATGCAAAAGAAGTACTTCTTATTGGTGCTTCTTATCAGTAAAACAAGGTAATCAGCACATGTTGTCTTCTGCCAACAATAGACCGAGTAAGCCAAAGAAGCAAAGACAAGAACAAAGTGTTCACGTCAACTTTACAAGCTTGGCTAAGAGCAAGGCATAAGCTGCATAGCCGCTTCCTTCGCTATGGAGTTTGCCCACATAGCCGCCCCCTATCCAGTATTGTTATAGAAACCGCTTGGACAGCTTTCTCCAAAGTAGATAATCCCTGTTGCAAGATCTCCTTATAAATAAGTTCTCTCTTCGTGAGATTTCCGATATTCAATTCACTTTGACCTGTGTATCTGGTTACTTACTTGCTTTAGCACATTTGAGCTGTTTGACATACTATGTATCTTGATATAGCATCCGGCCTTTGGCTGTTTCTTCTATCGCCGCTTGCATCAGCTATATTGCTTCCGCCAACTCCTGAGGATTTGGTAACCATCCCGAGTAGCTTATTTCCCGGCGTGTCCATCTCCTATAAGCAGGTAAACTACCATGTCTCAAAACGTTCTCCATTTAGTAGTGCTAACACCAGAGCTTGAACAGACTCGGATTTGCGAAACAACTCCAGCCGTTAGAGCCTTCAGTGGATATGTTGATCTTCCTCCTAATCTCATTCCGGGCCAAAATTATCCTGTCCACTCTTTCTTCTGGTTTTTTGAGGCGCGCATCAACCACCATGAAAACGCGCCCCTCTCTATTTGGCTACAAGGCGGTCCAGGTTCACCCTCAGTTGCAGCAGCATTAGGTGAAAACGGTCCATGCTCTGTCCTTTCTGACTCGAAAAAGACAATACTGAACCCGTGGTCTTGGAATAATGACGCCAATATGCTATATCTAGATCAACCGATCCAGGTTGGCTTCTCATATGACTCGCTCATTAACGGTACTATTAACGAGCCGCAGTCGCCATTCGCTGTTACACCAAAGAATATCTCTCTTGCGGACTTATCACAAGACACACTAACCGCCGTTCCAGGGACATTTGCGTCCCAGAATGTCGCTTCTACAGCCAATACAACCTTTATTGCTGCACGAGCGAGCTGGTATTTTCTGCAGACTTGGATACAAGAGTGAGAATGCTGTTCCCCAACTGTTTCTAGAGATATCTGATTAACACTAAGTGACAGGTTTCCTGAATATAAGCCAAAGAACAACCGTCTGAGCCTCTGGGGAGAGTCGTATGGTGGCCACTATGTTCCCACCTTGGCTGGCTATATTGGCTCTCAGAATAAGCTCATTGCTACCAAGAATATTACAACGACAGCTGCTGTTCCACTGCACATCGAGGTTGTCGGTTTGGTCAATGCTTGCATAGATAACAGTATTCAAACGCCTCTATACCCGGTCTTTGCATACGATAATACCTACGGGCTGCAGGTCATCAACAATACCGAATACCAGGACGCTCTGGACGCTGTGCCTCAGTGTCTCAACCTGACCGACACTTGTCGAAACCTGGCTGAGAAGCTGGACCCTGAGGGTTGGGGAAATAATAAGAGAGTTAACCAAGCCTGTGAGACTGCATACAAGTTCTGTTTTGGACCGACGCTGCAGCCCTTTAACTCCAAAGGTGTAAGAAAAAATATAGAAAAAAACCCCGCACGGTCTAAGAACGCAAAGTGCTAACAGACGGTAGCATGACTTGTTTGACTTCACTCAGTTAGCGCCAGACTCGTTCCCGCCAAAGTTCGCCGCAGGTTATCTGAACTCGCGCGAGGTGCAGCTCGCGCTAGGCGTGCCGCTTAATTTCACAGGCCTCTCGACTGCTGTGGCCCAGGCATTTGTAGAGACAGGCGACTTCATCCGTGGGCATAATCTCGAGCTCCTTGGAGATCTGCTTGATAGCGGTGTCAGGGTCGCGCTTGTCTATGGCGATAGGGACTATCAGTGCAACTGTAAGTCAAAATTCCATTCAATATAATTGACTGTGAAGAAGTATTCCGCTAACAATACCCCTTGTCTTCCAGGGCTCGGCGGTGAACAAATTAGCTTGGCTATCCAATCATCGTCATCTGCGAGTTTCCGCGCCGCTGGATATGCCAGCATTAGCACCAATGGCAGCTACATAGGCGGCGTAGTGCGCCAGCACGGCAACCTGTCGTTTTCGCGGGTCTTTGATGCAGGGCACCAGGGTATGCCTCCATCTCTCTTTTCTTTGCCTCCTCCGCTCCAAGTATATCGCACTGCCTAACGTATTCTCTTCCTTCTAGTCCCGTACTACCAGCCCGAGACGGCCTACCGTATCTTCTCCCGCGCTATGGCTGGCGCCGACATCGCGACGGGACAGATTCTTACTGAGGCCGACTACTCTACCGCAGGACCTAGCAGCAGTTTCTGCATTAAAAATACAGTACCACAGCCGCCAAAGCCGCTGTGCTATACATGGGATATTATGGAAACATGCACGCCACCTCAAGCAGCGTTATTGGCTAATGGGACAGCTATTGTACGAGACTTCATTATGGTGGGATATGTGCTCCCGAACGGGACTGAGGTTATATACTAAGATAGAGAGACACTGCATATCTGGTGTTGTATGTAGTCAAAGCCAGCTCGGATCATCTCTCTTTGTATGCGAAGGATTTAATACTTTTCTTTCTTTTTGACTTATTAATTTTGTTTCTTGCGCCAGCTGTTACTACTCTGGTCTTTTGTGCTATATGTATTTCCAACTTTTTCAATCCCTTATGGTAATAAATACATATTTGTTATAATGAAAGTTAGTATCTGGACAACCATTTATTAACGGCAGATGTTTGGCTTTGTGTGGGGATGGGACGCATGTTGTAACCCGCGTCAAGCATCTCCGATCTGGATGCGGCAAAGATTCGCCCCCACTCCGAGCTCCGATCATAACTAGTCCGATACACCGAACATCCATAGCCTCAAGAGTCTGGAGGCTTTCCATGCAGCCCCTGCAGTCAGTATAAGTAAGTGCCTACACTCTGCTTTTCAAAAGGCTTCGGTATTCTTTTATATCTTGTTCAAGCCTTCAACTTTAAAATCTAAAAGTTATCCGTCGAATCAAAGCACAGTCAACCCGCCATGTCTGCAACACCACCACCTTCATACAGGGAGCAAGTAGAGCTCAAAGCTTCCGCGAACGATGCCAAAGACTTTCTTTCAGTGTATTCAGACTGCTCAACCACACAGGCAGTGCCAATTCCGCTCGGCCAATCGTCGCGAATGACCCGACACAGCATTAAATCAGCCATCTGGTCCTTCATGAAAGGTAAGCCCAGTTTCATCTTCATAATCCACCCACCCACCGCAAGAAATTTTGCCAATCCTGCGAGTAGGTGATATATACTACAAGCATCATCCGGCTTTTACACAGGATAGATATTTCAACGCCATGATGAAGGACCAGAGAATAAGCAACTGATCATTGGGTTGATGAGATGTTGGGTGATATGGAGAAATAGGACATGAACTATCGGGAGCCGTATAATGAGCAACAGCCTGCAAAACATAGACAGAGAGAATAAACATATACCTTTTAATTTAACGAGTTACAGCCTTGTGGTTCAAACTCTTTTAAGACCAACGTCCCAATGTAGCAACTGTCGGTAGATAGATCTTCCAAGTCTACCAAATTGCATCCCACTCTGTAACTACCTCTGTCATCTACTTGTTCCATTACACCATTTATATAATCATATTTTTGTGTCTTCAAATTGTCAACGAGGCAATTGAGTAGATCCCTAGAAAGTACTCGCTCCTCTGCGTAAATAAGCAGCCTCAGATAGGATATAGTCCACCGTGTAATTTAATCGCGATCCTTAGAATGCCCACGTTTGGTTCCGGTAATCTTCTAGACTGCAATTTGATAGGCTGCAAGCAGACTTTAGGAAAATTAAGTTACATAAAGTTGTTTCTCAGGGCTTGTCGTAGTGGAACATGGTCATGTAGAGGTGACTGGATGTACTGAATTAGATGTATTCAAAAGAGGCAGTAACTATGAGATACCGGTTCGAGCAGATTTTAGGGAACTAGTAACACTCTATGAGTAACATTTTCTCTTCAACTCGTTTAGTAGGATAGTAAATTGTCTGATCATATGCTTCAACAAGATGAAAGCTGACTTCTTCTTGCCTGTGGTCTAGACTTAGACATGTATATTTGGTTAGCTAGTAGTCAGGGCCACTTGCAATAAAAGAAACAAATGAGTGATTAATTAGTTTCTCGCCTTCTATGAATGCAACTGGCAGCGAATTAGGTGCTCGAATTGGGTTATCTAGAGCGATCAGATAGGTTTATTTTGTAGCTGGAAGCAAGCGGCCCGCATATTCCGTTTGTTCATCATAATAATACTGATACCTTAGGATGTTCGACTCGATTAACAGTTACTTTTAATAACTGCGGATGCTGTATTAAAGCTATGGGCATTGTCTCCATTAATTCACGATATTTCCAAGGTTGGAATGTTAGAGTCGAGCCATAGGTCCCCTTGTAAGCCAAGTGAGTCGAGCCACACCAACCACTCAGAATCCTGAGCAGCTACATTAAGAATCTCTGGACTTATGAAACCTGTAAGCTCGTTTTGATGCTCGTGTTGACGTGTCGCCAGTCCTTCAGACCTGTCTCTATTGATAGGCTCGGTATTGTTTAGGATTGAATCAAGACTTTTGGAAAAGATCGACTGGGCCTGCTTGCAGATTTGATAGTTGCTTTGCCCACACTCGGCCCAAGAATCGCAACATGTTATCAAAACGCTGATATCTTGGATAACGCTGCTTCTGTCGATGCTTGATTGTTCCACAGGATGTTGACTTTGTCGCAGAAGCTCCAAGACTAGAACGCTGGCACAGGGCATGGCATAGAAAACTAACTGAAATATCTGTAAGCATCCGGAACTTGAGCCGGTTTAAACTTGTTTTGTTGGAACTCTAAGAGCCACTTACAGCCCATTCATGGTCTGCCCTGTTACTATGTAAAAGATCCCTTTTCCGGGTTGGTAAGAGGACAGTTTTGAGAATCTCGTATGCCGTCTTTAGCGCTCTCGCGACTTATCTCACTGCAACTGGCAAGCAGGTTATGTAGAAGAAACTCCGTGTAGAGATAACACAGTCGTAGGAAGTGTAGAATCGTAAACTCCCTAATTTTGCCTGCCAACTGTTGCGCTGTGTCGCACTTCAAATGTGACGGAATCGACTGCCAAGTAGATTTCAATTTTCGTAAGACACGCCTGCAGCTAGCGTTAGGACTGATTGAATTCGTATGACTCGCATTACTTACCCTGCCTTCGCCTCAAGGTTTGACGCTGCAGGCCCAAGTTTTAGCTCTAGAGCTTCTTCACGAAGCATAGATAACAAAAGTCGTGCTCTCGAAACGGAGACAGGAAGTACGGCCTTATCTTTACTCCAGCCATCGGCATCTAAATTCTGGCGAGCTTTGAGGAGCATTTCAGGTTCACCCATAAGAGCAGAGTCTGCAATATCGAGGGGTAATTCGATTACACAAAAGTGACGACTAAGATGAACAGGCCTACAACCAGTGCACTGTCAGTAAAGGCCCGATATGCGATTTGAACCCAAGTATAAAATCCTACCGCGACGTGAAACTAGCACACACTTTGTCGAGATCATGTGCACAGGCGACTGCCCTTTTCCGAATCTCCGTCATATAAAATGGCACAGAAGGATCGTTCTGGACTCCTTTGTAGAAACCCAAGGCAAAAACGACTGATGACATGCTGCCCACGAGCCGCAATGCATGGTACGAGTCGTCACCAAAGCACCACGTGGCGAGCAGGGTTGTCAGCATGATGAACCATAGAGTAAGATCGTTGATGGCTCCCATAGAGCCGCAAAACGATTCACATTGGATACAAGCTTGAAAGGCCCTGTGCATTAGCGTTTTGCGATCTGTTTTCCACGATTCGTGGGCGGACAAGCTGAAGGACCGGTCCTTTTCTTCGCCAAGGTAAACCCCGATCTGGGCACAGTACAAGCCAATCATCTCCCAGCGCAAAGCTTGCACGGAAAATGCTGATTCCAATGCACCAGAAGCTGGGTTGGGAGGAAAGACAGGAGGCGATGAGGTTCGATCAAATATGGCTTCGGATATCGATGCCAGATCCAGAGCCGAGCGATTACTTAACAAAGCTTGTATGCTGTTGTTCGTTGTGGTCCATACTGCCTTGACAAGAGGGCCATGAATGCATGGCTCTGTCTCAGGCATCGAGAAGCTTTGGAAAGGCTCGCCAATTTCATTGACAAGTTCCAAAATGTCGCTCAATAATGTTGCTCCTTCGGAAATTGTTTGTTGACTAGGTGGACAAGGCTGAGGTAGGGCTACACCAGTGCTTGTCAGGGCCGTATAAGAGTGGTGCGGGCGAGGAGTACTCGAATCAGCAAAGGACATCAAGTTCTTGTTCATATTGATCAGCTCGTAAGGACTTGAAGCCCTTTCGATAGACCCAGGAACCTCCGATTGATCGGCTGTCTCCCGGTCGCTTTGGGGCGTGGCCTGTTTCGCTGTCGGAGCTGGGTGGTAGTGGCATTGTTGCTGTGGCCGGCGGCGCCGAGCACACCTCCCGCATATTGGTCGACTGTGGTCGCATCGAAGTTTGGACTTGCGGCATGGCTCACATGCAGAAAGTTGCCCGTTGCGTCGGACTCTATCAGTCATCATGAATCGCTCTTTGCGTGAAAAGGTGAGGAAAGGCGTACTGGTCCCGCGAAGAGGACTAGCGGGGTCCGAAACGTGGCTCGGAGCTGGACGGACTCCGACCCTTGGGGGATTTTAGCTGGGTCTGTGGTCAGGTCCGAACTTACCAAATGCCAGGTCCGAAGCCGATCAAGCATTAGTTGACACAGCTTGCTAATAGTACTTGCATTTCTTTCTATAACCAAATGGTGTCCGAGTGCCCCCAGACCATGCCTGCTTCAAACTCATATCCTCCTCTACCAATTAATGATATCCAAGTATTTACTTTTGATAACCATATGTACTTTTTTTAAGCAGAAATCTGCTTAGCTCATCAAAAATGTTTCTGCGTCTACCCTGAGGGCTTACCCAACATCAGGAATGTTCTCCGATAGTTATCGAATACTATAAACTACTTGATTTTCAAGTTTTACTTTTATTTCTCTCTCTACTAAATAGTATACTAAAGAGTATATAGCAACTCCTTGTTATATTTGCGGACAGTTGAGTTCAATGTTGGCCCAAAGTCGGATATGTGTAATGCCAAATTTCACATTAAGCAGCTCACTTACATATGCGTGTATGCTGAGTTTTGGCAAGAATTTTGAGTAGTTGCGGGGGATAAGTTTGATTGTAATACTTGATGCCGAGCTTCTACGCGGGCTTAATCGAGGCTTAGAACATAATCGGTGCGAGACGAGAAGCAGCAGAGCATTACTTGTGGACACGGTCGATAGCACCTCAAACCGAAGGAACAAGTAAGTGTATTAAATATGTCCATCAATGTGCGACTTGGTGTAATACGAAGCCGTAATTCATCTCCCGATTCTTTTTTTTCATCTTCGCACCTCAGTTACAGCCATACAACAACGTCTTCCTGGACCCATCAATTGTAGGATGACTTATTCGCGGTCTAAATTTGAAGTACAGCCGCTACTCGGAGAGTTTTCGGCAAAGTTAACAATGCCGTTGACCATAGAAAAGAATATTATGCATATTTCGACAAATGTATGCTGGCTTGCTGTTGAAAAGCTCATGTTATCTGTTGTGGTTATCTCATCTGCATTAGAAATTGCCAGATATGTTACTCGGGAGCCAGCTTGAACTGCTACTTCGCATATATATATATAAATATATATTTGACGCATAAGAACAATGAGATGCCTGCATACAACAAGCACTGAAACATGATGCTCAAAGTCCTTTGAATGTAGTCTCAACAAAGTTATAGCTGATATCGAATTTCAGTCCCTCGGGATTGGTCAAATCTTCGTCACCATCTATCATGGATCTTTTAACATCTTACTCAAATTACCTCTACACCAGCCGCACTTACATCAATCCTGGGTCGCTTCAGGGTGTGGACCGACCAGTCCAACCCAGCCACTTCCGTAAGCTGTTATTGATGCCGCAATATCGTTATTACTCGAGTATCTTGCGAGGATTTTGGAGGTTGGAGACTGAGCACTCGTCATCACCGCGCCGTCCTGAAAGTACAACCAACGCTTCTGCTGCATTTTGCCTGCTGCATCTCTAGTGGAGAAGGTCTAGTCGACATTAATTATGGTGTCATCTGTTGTGTTAACTTGCGCTCCAGGCTGAGCAATTTCTTGATCGACATCATCTCCCTGAGGCACTAGGCCAAACCCAGGGCTACTTCTGGCAAGATATGCGCCCACACAGAAACCCATATAGCGCCCACCGTTGGAGACAAATTCTTGGATGGGTTTGGTGTATTGTCGAGCCTCTTTCCATGTGTCTTCTAGATCTGCAACACGTTAATACCGTTCACGCATAAATGACTATTTTATATACCCTCCACCTCCGGGCTGGGCATAAACGTCCATCAAGGTCAGCGATTGACTGCTGATATTGACGGCCTCTTTTAGGCCAACAAATGTGACATTAAAACCCAATGAAGAAGTGCTCAAAAGCTGCGCAACAGCCTCAGGGCAGCCTGCACAAGCCGCGGGTCCAGGATAGACGGCTGCTTGGGGTGAAGAAGCAAGACTTGCGCCTATGTTGGCGGCAATCGCCAGCAGCAAGACCCAAAGAGTAACAATGATAAAAGATAAGGATCATTAACAGAGAAGTGATAAGAAGATTAGTACTACTGAGATTTGCGTATTATAAGGTCTTATTACAACCTAACAACCATAAGATACATACCTATGGAAATACTATAGACTAATAGACTAATTAAGAGAGGATTATATTTTATACTATAAGCTACTTATAATAAATTATAAACACTAAAGTAAGCTATCCTAGAGAATTATAATTAGGATTATAAGTTACTTAAAATAACTTACTATATAAAAACTATTTATTATACTTATTAAATAAAACTTAAATAGTTAATTATTAATATAGCACTTTTAAATAATAATTAAATTAGTTATTTATAACCTTATTAGCTATATAATTACTTTACTTATTAAATCCCTTATATCTCTTTGCTAATATAAACTAATGCCTTAGTTTATAAATTAAAAACCTACCTATAACAAACTGTACACTAGATAGTTAGTATAGGGTAGATTCCCAAGGGACAAACCTTAGTAAATGATTCTGGGTTTATATTAGCGGAGCGGTTAAGAAACCTAATGGATAATATAGGCAATAATAAACAATATCACCAAATAGTAAGCAGTGCAAAGTGTGTTACAATCTTAATTCTGTGTTAATAACTAGCTATCTAAGTTATTTAAATAAGCGTAGTAAAGTAAACTTATATATCCAGTTAAGGTTTCTAGATTATAATGGAAAGCTATCTTTCCTAGCTTTCCTTAATGTTAAGGAAAGCTAGCTTTCCTAGCTTTCCTTATTTAGTAAGCGTAGGCCTTTAATTAATCAACGGATCATAGTTAATCCGTTCCGTCCTACCCTATAGGCCTATTATAACAACCATAAGTATTAAGTTATAACACAATACTCCCTCCTTATTAATCTTATCCTCAAAACCTAGTCACGTTATTATATAAATATCCCCACCTATCTTCCTTCCTAGGTAAGTTATTCCTTCCTTAGTTTTCTTCCTTTATTTTCATCATAGTTAAACGCAAGCGAGATAATAACAATACTTCCACGCAAAAGAAAGAAAAGCGTAAAAGTCTTACTAACACTATATTAAAGAATTCCGTTCTTATTATAAAGTCATACACCTACTGCGAGTCTTAAGGTTATAAATATATTACTTTAGAAAAGGATTCCCATTATTATTTATCTTATATAAAAAATCAGAAATCTTATTATAAGGCTTTTAGTTTTATCCCTCAATAAATGCGAAAAGTTACGTCTTATTATTTAAAACTAAATAAAGAGCTTAAGGAAGCTAAAGAGGCTTAGTTAAAGTTTAGTGCAAAGGTTAAATATCTTTATACCTAGAAACAAAAGTAGTCAAAGAGAATAAAACATATAATTACGCAAGGGCTAGATAATTTAAAGGAATTGGAACGGGTTAAGCGCAAGGAACATAAAGCAAAGGCCGCTTATTAAATTACCCTATTAGCGCCTAATTCTACCGTCAGCCTATCCCAGTCCATTAACACCATTAATTAATCTACCTTTAAACTAAACCCATTATTATTTCCACCCCTAGAGACTAATAAAATTCCCGCAGGATTGTCTAGGCGCTCCTCTTAAGTTCTTTTTCTAAAACCTAAGAGTCTTCATTAGGGTTATATCCTTTCTATCTAATAAAGTATTCTTATTCTCCTATTTCTTCATTTATTTATATACAAAGTAACTTTTTAATTTTATATTCTTCTTTAATGTCCTAAATAATAATTTCATCCATAATTAATTTACCTATTTCCTTATCCACTAGTGCTTTTTTAAGTAATAATACATAGAAAACAGCTATTTTTAATCTTATATTTTTAAATAAGTCTAATTCATAGTTAACTTCGCTAATTTTCTTTAGAATTTTAAATAGTCTAAGTTTTCTAAAATCCAATTTATTACTTAGCTTATTTATTCTAATGTTTAGCAATTTTTTATTACATAAATATTATAATAAGTAAACTATATCTCCCTCCTAAAGGGTTAATCCCTTAATCCTTATTCAGTTAGCGTATTCCTTCATACGCTGCCTAAAGAATTTAAGTTAAACTTTAAGTTCTTCCTATAATTAGATTATATCTTCTGCAAGAATGCATGCATTATCCGCATTTAAACTGTCGCAAGGTAATCTATAGGCTTCTAGTGTAAACCCGTAGTTAGCGTAGAACGGTGAGACTCCTATGGTTTCCGTTATAAAGCTATTATACTACATCTAAGCAATTAATAGCATTTTAACCCAGTTAACTTACTAAAGGTTAATGTAGTATTATAAGTATACTTTAATAACTTAATTCATTTATTCTATTTATCCGTCCATTTATAGATAAAACGCAATACTTAATTTATAATAGGTTCCGAGTTTAGCCATTAATTCTTACTAGAATTTAAACGCAAAGGTACTCCCTCTATCTAATATAATTTCTTTTAGCATTCTATATTCAGTAAATACATATCTTATATAAAAATACACTAAGTTTTCTGCTATATGCAATTTCTTATATAATAAAAAGTATACTTACTTCAAGAGTTTATCCACAACCACAAAAATACTATTAAATTATTTTCCAATTAGTGGATCTTTTAACTTAGGCAAGTTAGTAATATAGTTAAATATAACAGTATTCCAGTTTCTTTCCAGGACTAAATGTAATTATAGTATTCCATATAGCCAATGCCTTTTATCTTTTATTTTTTTACATATATTACATTTCTTAATAACTTCTAAAATTTTATTCTTTATTCCTAGAAATTTATAATAGCGGATAGCGTGGTTCTAAGTAATGCAGACACCATAGTATACTGCTGCAATCATATTACAATATAAGTCTTAGATTACTTTTAATTACAATTCCAGTAGTACCTAGATTTTTCCTTCCCATTTTAGTAAGCCTTCTTTAATAGTTACTTCTTCCGGGAGTTCT